TGCCTTCAGGTCCTACAACTCCAGAAAAGTTTGTCAGATAGTGGTATGACAAACAGCAGTTACCGTTATAGTGTAAATTGCTACGCTGTGATGAGAGTCTGTGGATGAAGTGGTAATGCTGACTGAACGAGGTTGTAACAGCAATAATGTTCCGCCTGCAAATTACCAGCACTACCATGTGGATGTTGCCTTCCTGGTGCGAAACGGAGGTTAGAAAAGGTTGACCATAAGAAAGCATACTCTCCCCTATCCTGTAACATTGTTTTCTAGCTGGGTTTGAGTCAATGAAATGAAACCTCAAACGTTCACACACCACTACAGCTAACAAAAGTTTCTTTTAAGGTGCCTCAAAAAGAAATAGCCTTCCACAGTGTGAGCAACTGTGGAGTGTCGACCGCAATCCCAACTCTGTTAGCACTCAAATTCATTATCAAGCATCCGCACCTTTCCCTTCTAATCTCTCTTCCTGTCTCTCAGTCGACATTCTTGCATCACTCCTAATTTCGTCCAGCTCTGCAGCTGTTGACAACAATTCGAGTAGATGAAACAGTGTCTCTGGTCTTATGAAATCACACTCCAACTACATATTTGAGCCTCGAATGTCCGAAACCGTCCAACACATCGGTCAACAATCTTCACCAGTCGAAACTACACCATACCAAGCCATGGACATGTGTTACCTTCGTGAGACACGTATACAGGACACAAGTAGCACTGTTCACACAACCTCACTTGACCAATATAGTGAGTTTGAGAAATTCATTCTCTGAGTATACTGGAGATGAGACGGTTTGTTCTCGCGGTCTCGCAGGTGTAAGTATGGCGATAGCCTTCAATGCTAAGCGAGAAGGAGTACTGGTCAACTGGATCACCAGTTGACAGTTGTCTGTGCGCTGTTCTAGTAAACAGTAAAGTTGAAACTAGGAAGAACAGTGAACCTTATTGTCGTCTCTTTGTAATTTCTGTGTGTGTGTGTGTGCACTCCCTGACTGCAGGTTGTATGAAGTGAAGGATGAGGTCTATCGAAAATTGTCTAATCATCTTCTAGTGAAAGTTGAATTTTTAAATGTAGTTATCTTAATAGAAACAAATGAAACCAATAAAAGGTGATGAAGAAAATTTAATTACCAAAGAAGCGAAACAAAGAAAACGATGGGCTGACCACTTTAAAAAGCTCTTAAATCAACCACTACCACCACCTGCACTTCGTCCAGAAATACCACCTACAGCCCAGTCACAGAACTACAAGTGAACACAAGCCCTCCGACCAAAGTCGAAGTCCTGAGCGCCATAAGGCTGCTGAAACGGGAGAAAGCAGCAGGAGTAGATGGAATCCCTCCAGAAGCACTGAGAGCAGACGCAGAGACAACAGCGGATATGCTGACAGCACACCACTATTGCAGAAGGTCTGGAAGGAAGTAAAGGTACCTGCTTGTTGATTAGAAGAGGGGCTATCTTGTCAAGCTGCCGAAGAAGGGAGACCTAAGTGTTTGCAAAAACTGGCGCGGAATCACTCTCCTATGCACCCAGAGCAAGCAAAATCAAAAACAAACAAGTTGGCAGAAGAGGCAGGGCAGCGAAGACGGGACTTCAGGTGAACGTAGAGAAAACAGAGGTGATGATAATACCCAACCAACACTAACAACTAGCTCCAACCACCATCAACGGGAGGAACCTGAAGGAAGTAGCCTCTTTCACTTATCTAGGCAGCACTGTTTCAACTGCAGGCTACACAGACGAGGATGTCAAAACCAGGATGGGAAAAGCAAGAAAGGCGTTCATTAGCCTGAAATCAGGGTGGAGATCTGCACTGCACTCATCATAAAGCGTGAACAAGATCCGGATTTTCAACACCAACGTGAATTCAGTGCTTCTGTATGGCTCAAAGACTTGGCGGGTTACGAAAGGGATTTCCAACAAACTACAGACATTCATCAACAACTGCCACCTACACTCACTCGATACTGAAGATGGCGATCAGATGGTCAGAAAGAATAAGCAGCAAGGAACTCTGGCTGGCGACGAACCAACCAAGAAGCTGTCGCTCAACAAATATGCAGAAGGAAGTGGAGATGGATTAGGCATACAGTGAGAAGACCGACTGGAGACAGTACGCGCCAGGCCATCAAGTGGAACCCAGATGGGAAGCGACGAGTTGGGCGTCCGAGGCGAGGGTGACATGGAGTAGATGGTATGAGGAAGAAATGAGAGCTTGTGGGCTGTCGTGGAGCCAGGTTCAAAAATTTGCAGAGAACAGAGTGTACTGGAGACGTGCTACTGAAGCCCTGTGTTCCATTAGGAACCCTAGGGACAAATAATAATCGTAGTAGATGGTTTCAGTGTACAAGTTTGTAGGCTAAGTGAAGCAGAAAGGCACTTAAGTGGGACTTTCGGAATCCTAGCTAAACGAACAGATACTGGTGATCGTCTACTACAACTGTGCTCAGATAACCATTTATTTGTGGCCAGAACCAGTTCCAGACGCATGTATAGAAATTGTCTGATATGGTGTCCACTGACCTTACCTCCCTCCACAGTGGACTCAGATAGAGCACGTCGCTACTAGTCATAGCTGGAGATGGTCAGTGGAAGACTACTGTTTCTTCTGGAGTACGTGTTTCCACAGCGACCATGTGTGTGTGTGTGTGTGTGTGTGTGTGTGTGTGTGTGTAAATGGATTCAGAGAAACCTCAGTAGCAAGGCCATTGAGAGGGCATCTCGACAGTGAGAAGAGCACTAAGACTACTTTCAGTGAGAAACCGACTCAATGGTAACAGTTATCGGAGCAGAACAACAGCATCCACTGGGAAGAAGCTTGGCATCAGGTCTGGCTGGCTGGCTGGCTGTAAAAACATCGATGACGACTGTAGATGACTGTGAGAGAGTGGTTAAAAAGAGTCCTTTGATCTCACCAGTCCCCTCTCAATGAATATCATGACATGACCGCATTGATGCAAGTTTCGAGTACAAAGAGGAGTGGAAGCAAGTTATGTGTAAGCTGAGAAGAGTTTACTTGATGATCGTGAAGATTACATTGGTTGGTGGGGTAGGGTGAAGGCATAGGATGGGATGGGATGGGATTGGAAAGGCATTGGGAATAGGTAAAAGTAGACAGTTATTTATATTTATCAAGGAGACTGTGGTGAAAAGGCTAATGGTTAGTGAGATAATAGCGGAGAAGAATGGGTCTTTAACCCACTTAGAGGGGGGATGACTGAAATGATGGGCGGAACACGTCGATTAATAGTTCGGCTAGCCTCCATCTACTATTCCATCAAGTGTAAGTTGGCTAGATATCCTTTCTACATCGGGTTCTGGATCGCTGAAACTCTAATTGATGCCTCGCACTAGGTGTTTCAATTTAAATGTTGCATTCAGCTCAGTTTATCGAAGAGTTTTATGGCTCTGTGTCTAACTGGAACGATTGTGGAGTAAGTACATCACCGAGTTAAAACCTGTGGGGGCGTTAAAGCCTATGGTGTGTTATCATGTGAGTTGCGTACATCTGGTGGTATCTGACAAGGATTTCCCCTTCCACCACTCATTTAATTTTGTTAAAGAAGTGCTTGTGGTGCTGTCTGTCGTCGTCTGATTTTATCTAGACTAACCTTGTCACAGTAGACGTCTTAGTAGTTCTAGAGTATGCAGGCGACATAATCTACTTCAATGAAAATGCTACCAAAATATAGTCTTTTCGACATCTTGTGTGACAATTGAAAAATGCGTTGAAATGCATTTCTCACCACCTGAATGCAAATTTTTGCTTCATGACTGATTTTCGTTTATGCCTCGTCTGAAGAAAGCCAGCTATGTGGTTGAGCGTGTTGACAACTTCACTTAACACAAGTAAAAAGGCTTGCTTGGCATTCGCCGGCGTATACACTTTATGATACCGCCGTGATCTCCAGTCACCTATTAAAAATTGAGTGTACTGTATTTAGTTTTATTCTACTATGTAGCTGTGAAAAATATCGATTAATAGTAGGGGGTATCAAAAGACTTTCGATGACTTGTACTTGTGCAGGTTTCATTCTCTGAAGAAGCGATTTCTACGAAGTCACGAAATGTCAAAGACTTACTGTTTACCTCATTGAGGTTTTGAAATGTATTTGCAATCCATCTACCCAATCCTCAGCTTATTCAACTCTATCAGGTGAGACTTTAATCCTGAGGTTCATAAAAAAGCTTCACGTGTTTGATCACCGTTGCTTTCGTAGAACGGACCGTGTATCATGGTGCCGCCATGTCAAAAACGTAGTTAGGTGTGACGTTGTGAGAAGAAGAAAGTCACCCTATGAGTTCGTGAATCTTCATTGGCTTAGATGTCTGGGACATATGTTGCGCACGCCTAGACACCGTCTAACCCGTTGCACAATTATAGCTGAAGTAGGTTTAGACTGTAAGAAAGCTCGGGGCAGACTGATTAAAACATGGTATCAATACATGAAGTATTTGACTGTCGCTCTGAACCATGTAGGGAAATGTAGACTTCCCAGTTGGGGTCCACGTGATGGGATTATACTTGATATGGCTCAGAATCGATGTCAGTAGTGCATTTATGTCCACACATCTTCATCCTAATCGTCATAACTGAATCTTGGTATTGTCTCATTTCTTCTTTCTTTCTTTTGATAACTTTCTACTAATTTTGGTTACTTTCTTCCTTATTTCTCTATCTTCCCTCTGTATCTTTACGCTGATATGTTGTACAGCAATTTGGATCGTTACCCAGTAATCCCGGGTCCCTTGTTGTTGCCGACTGAATGACTTCACAACTGTTACAGACAGGAAATCTGCCTTTGTCGGATGCTAAATTGCTTCATATATCACCGGGAGGCAGGTACATCCAGCTGACGAGTCCCAAATAGGACGAAGTACGCATCCTGGATTCCACTGCTAGCCACTATCCATCTTTACTATAACATATTAACGTAATTGATTCTTGTATTTCATTTGTGCATTATTTTCTGTTTTTTTTTGTGGTGATTCGATGTTTTCAGAATTTCAGTTGTCTACGTCCCCTGAATTACCACGTCATAGTGTTGTCTGTGCACCTACTACACTTTCATCATCTTTTCATCAGTCCGATCGATTTATGGAACAGAGTACACCACTGAAGCGAACTCCAGCATCTTTTCAAACTAGAAACTCCCTTCATCCCGGTGATAGCATGAATTCTTTGCTAAAAACAAATTTATTTACTTTTCAACCTGACAATATGAAAACGAATCACCCTATTGCCTCCTGTCTTCCCAGTCTACTGGATATGCATGCAAACTCATCCCCACCTGCAACGCCAAATGCTATGAATGCCTACTTAGAAATTTCCCCGTAAGTCGCTGTTATTTTTGTTGGTTTCCAGAATTTTAATCAGTATGTCGAATTAATTATCCTAGCTGGCACAGTTTTCAAAGGTGTTATAGGTCAGTACTTTTATCTATTGTCAGGTTGTTGGGCAGACGAAGAAGTAACGACGACACACTGGGATCTGTAGCATTTTTTTTCATTGAAAGGGTTGTACAATCGATATATTCCACTATCCTGATATTCTTAGTCGAGTGTACACTATGTGAACTGCCCACATTAAGTTGTTTCTGTAATGGTTGCCAGTTTCTTATATATAATCTGTACTTGCTACAGATTTTTCTATTCGCGATAGTCTATACTTCAAGAAATCGATACCATGTCCCTAAATCCTTCAGTTCATCTGAAACATCTAGATGATGTTGTTCTTTTCGGCAAATACGACGATACGATGAAACCTCAAAACTTTTTCACATCTGCGAATTGTGAATAGACTAGTTTTTAACTACATTTAACTTTAAAATGCAAAGTCTAGTAATCAAAGACATAAGTCGTTTAGATTGCCTGGGAAGGTGAAGGAGCATCAGTTTTGGTTGACTGATGTGATGAAACGTTGGCCAACCAGAGTTGTCGCCAACTAACGTTAGTTTTACCACTGGTAGGGTATCCCGTTGTTTATCAGTAGGGGGGGTAGCCTACAGTGCTTTCTGTCTAAAATGCGAATGGGTGACATTAGAAAGATAAGTGAAATAGAAATTTCGATACTTAATCCCTCTTTACAGAGTCATTCAAGTCCTGTCAAATAAGTGAATGCATAATGTGTAATCTAAACGTCAGGATTTAGATAAGGGCAGAAGGCCAGCTACAAACGTGCATTGATCGAAATTATCACATCATTTAATCATCATAGCCAACTATAACAAGCTCTTATGTCCGATGTTGCGTAGTAGGAATATGAAAACGGTGAAGCGAAAAAATAACAACCACTCCTCATCAGGCTTTTTGGTATCTTCATGGAACTACATGAGGATCGTGGTAATAAGTGGTAAGCGCTACAGCCCATAGTAGACAGCGATGATGCTTGTGTATCCATTTCACATTCCCATCTTAATCATGGAAAAGTGTATTTTGTTCTTAATTTCCCCTATCTTATATCTTTCTAGTAGTCCTTTTTGTTGTCTATTTACGTCGCGTTATTTTTCGCTGTATTTTTTAAGTTTCCCAGCTGTAATCACTAATATTATCAGAACCTCTACGTTATGCTTATTAATTTATTGTTATTACTACTGCTACTCATTCGGTTGACTTTAACTCTGCATCGAGACTGGTTTTTTTTTTGATGTACACTTTCAAGGAGTAGTTTGTCAATTCTAATTTACAATGTATGCTCAGATGCGCATTGAAAGGAAAGTAAACTATTTTCCAATCATTTTTGATAAAGATTTATAAAATGGAAATGTTGACAATCTGAGATACCCGTGGTTTGTCAGACTTGTAATGATACTGGGTGCTCAGCTGGTACAGCATCGGGCCGGAAACCCGGTGGTCTCTGGTTAGAATCCCGCCGTGGTCCAAATTTTCATTTCACCTTCATCACCTAGTATCGAGTTAATATTCATTGAAAAGTGTCGACTTAGTACAGACGTAATATCAAATCCCGCACCAAATAATACTGTGAAGCGAGATTTTTCCTCTAACTCATAGTTGATGTTAGCCATTGACTGACGTGCTACATATATCTGGCGACCGGTTGACCAGGTTAACATAGAGATTGCTTGTTCTGAACCTACCACTCATTGTTTACTAGTCAATTATACGTAATCCAGATAGGCCGCAACTTCACATCTGCATCTTCAATATACAATTGTGCCGGGTACAGTAACTTGAACTGATGCATTTGTGTGACAAATTCTACAATGGTTGGTCCGTTGGTCTGTCCTATGTCCTACTTTGTTTCTGTCTGTATATCTGGCCCTAGTAGCCACATATTCTCGTAATCTAGTATTTAAACAAGATCGATGTACTGAGTTTTTTTTACAAAAATAACTCTGCACTATATTTTAGGGTGATTGGAATACGTAATTGCGTAGATGTATCGTTAGATTCCAAGGTAAACTTCACTAAAACGTTAAACAGGAGTTGTATTTATAAATATAGTGTTTGTTTGAACTGTGCATTTGCAAACAGTTAAAGGCTAAGTGTGACTTGTGTTTTTGTTTCTCACTACAAGAAACCTGTTTATGCCCATAAATCTGTACAGTGAACCTTAGTCATGTTTTGTAATGTTTTTGTCTAACTGACATTTAACAGGGAATAAATACAATTTGTGTAAATCTCATTGTGTATTGATTAAACTATTCACTACCCGTAATCATACTATTTTGCTTAATATTATTTATTTGTTATTAGAATGCGACCTCCTAAGGACTACAGACATTGAATCGTAAAGTATGACATCTAGTTTGTGTAATTGTTTATGCTGCGTTCATAGTGCGTCTGTCACGCATTTGTTTTTGGCTTGGTGGGTCTATCACTCATTGGTCTACACAGCTGACTCCCAACCTATGGGTAACGGGTTCGAACTAGGCCCTACCTATTGAGGTTTTTGCAACTAGGTAGTATCATTAGACCTTATACAACAGGTGTAGTTCATTGCGTACTAGACGAACGTGCAAAAAGTTGCTGAATGATGTTATTATATTTTGCTGTTTTAGACTTTAAACTTTCATTCAATGACTAATTAATTGTCACTAAAAGCCTCCACCTCTTCCTAATCCGTGTGAAATGAATTCTATGTTCTCCCGAATGAAATATGATCCTAAGACTACAAAGAATGTTAGCTGATTTGCTTATACTAAACGCTAACGATTTTTCCCATTCGATTGAAAATATGCACATTATTTTACTTCAAGAGGTTCATTGCATAGATGAACCGAGCTGCTTACCTTTCAAGAAAAGAGAATGATATAGAATATCGTCGAAATACGCTTTGCGGTTGACACACTTTTCAATACTACACAAAGAGAATGGATGAAGAGAACAACTGTACACCAAAAACTAATTTTTTGCAAGTTAATGAGTTGTTTCAGGTAGCTTGATTCCTGTACCTATCAAGTATTCAGTTATAAAGACAAACCCAGTTCATCTACATTGGCTTACACAGCCGACTTAATAAGGCCTCATATCATGAAGTGTTGCTCGTTCCCTAATATCGATTTGTCGGGTTACATTATTAAATCATAATATTTACGTCTATAGCCTAGTCACGTTAGGTAGAACTAAGCATACCGTTAGTTAAAATTAGGTCGTCCTTTCTTCTCTATCCTACTGGTCTAACTTGATAAATGCAAAAAGCAATTAATGTTGTAGCGTATTGAACATGTTGGTCAACAATAAAGAAAAATAATACTACACCTATGATACTTCAAGCATTACTCTTGTTGAGTGCTACTCATATTTCGCACCAATTCACTTTCAATATTATGATTTGTCAAGGAAGCTTTTCAGTTGATATACATTTCGGCCGATGAGTAAGTCTTCGCTCTTTTAGTGTAGTCATGTTTGTCTATGACTACTGTGGTGCGCCCTTTGTCAGCTGGAAGTATAACGATGTTCTTTTTATTCTTCAGTTTTTTTAAGAGTTGTGTGTTCCTCACTGGTTAGTTGAATGCAGTTTTGCTTCCGCTTGGTCAGAGGTACGATTAGTTGTCGTATTTTCTGTTGGGTCACATTGCTTAGTCCTAAAGTCTTCAGTGGTGACTCTAGGGATGTGAAGAGTTCTGATTCCGAAGCGTCTCCTGTGTTGTAATTTAGTCCTTTCTAAAGAAGAAGTCCCTGGGGTTTTGCCAGAGGTTGTTTGAACAAATTGTCTACACAGTAATTTGTTTCTACTCCTTCTGATGCTCGTGGTTTTGAAATCTTGACAAGCTTCTGTCGAAGGATGTTTCTTCCCGGTTCTTTGTGTCATCTGCTTGGTTTTTCAATCGCAATCGCCAATTTTGTGTAGTGTTCTGTTGTGAGTATTCCCTAAAGCTTTCTCTTTTGGTTGTCTGTCATCTGTTGATATTTCTAAATCCTATAATGAGCATTAGCGATCATCAGTTGTACTATGTATCTGCCTCTATTTTCCAGCCCATTAGACAGCCATTGGGTGGCCTGTATCTGACGCTAGTTGGCAGAATATGCTGACTTAGACACTCTGAAGTTTGTGCTGATGATATTATTTAGGATGAAAATGGCAGCTTCATGAACAAAGCATCCAGCTCAGAGAATACAACATCAAAAGCTTTTCAGTGTAATCATTTTTAATTTGATTATTCGATGTACAGTAGTTCTACCGTAATCTTCATGAAAATTCATTTAGCCACAGTGAATGTTATTCTCAGATATTGATATTGCTCTCAATTTGCCTCGGCTCGATATATATATATATATATATATATATATATATATATATATATATATATATATCCGTAGTTTTCTTGAGACAAACATTGATTGGTATATCATAAACTTAAGGTAAACCAATGGGAAAAGAGTTGGCTTACATAGTAAAAATACTCGATACATATGGCATCAACAAAGCAGCGCAAAAAGTAACACTGAAAGTTACGGTTGCCAAATGCAGTTAAACAGGGGGAATCAGGCATGTGTAATATTTGATGGGAAAGAGCATTTTCATATGACTAGTTTACATGCCTTTCATTCGATTGGTCTTTTAGTTTTACGCCTTGATTGGTTGAATTTTTGTTTCGTTTTAATTTCCACGATATTAAAAGTTAGGCTGACTTATTCCATTAGACATGGTATAAAATAGTCTGTAAAAATTGTGATGTACACCTGAATGTCACATCCGCATTTTGCTACGCACCGAAATTTGTTCCCAATAGCGTTTTCTTATTCATCTTCATAAATGTTACAATTACTGATAACTATTCATTCATTTTGATCTCGTTCTAAGTGTATTCTACTGATTTTTTCTCCAACTCAGTTCCAATTCTCCTGATGCAGTTGTACCTAGTTTAAAGAATTCTCCAAACATTCAACAGCAGGTTATCCGTAGTTCTTCAGTTGATAAATTTGAAGAAACAAATAAACCTACTTCTCCTGTAACTGATTCATTGAAAGAAGACCTTTTGGAAGCAAAAATTCAGTAAGTTGTAATGATGATAATGATGATGATGATTAATTCGTTTCTTGCTGTTTTCGGGTTTGAGCGGTGTAACGATTCGCTTTGTTTTAGTTCCATGAACATTTAGGTGATATTGAATCTTCAAGCAAAATATAGGTTGCTGTAGGTTTCGAATTAGCAAATGATTTACCGGATTATTACGGACCAACTGTTCTGTCCTCTAAGCTACGAATCTCAATCGCTAACTAGATTTCGACTTCCTCCTTTAATCCCCTAGCTTTGTCACTAGACAGACATACTAATCACAGGTGATGGTGGTGATCTTTTCTAAAGTTAGTCAAATATTCTCAGTATTTTTGGGTCAAGCGTGCGTTACATTACACCTGAACGTATGTTGGAATCCCATTTACAAGAAAGACAAAGCAAAAAGAAATCTTGGTGACATAGGTGAAAATTGGTCACAGTGCTTGAATATTAGCACTATCCGTTATCTTTGTGTGGTTTATTATCTCACACAGCTTTATCTGCTTTGATATCATTGTTTTTCTATCCCCTGTTCTTTGTATACTTCTGTGAAATGTGGTAAGTTGAAGCAATGCACTTGTGAGGTTGGAATTCGATTATTTCTGTCTGGGTGAAAATGAATGGATTTGCTGCTTGTCCGAGTTGACGAAGAACATGGCAAATGACTTCAACCATTCAGGGATGAAGTTTAGGGAGCCAGAATTTGTATTTCATGGATGTTAAAATTTCACAAAATGATATAATTGGGAATATTTTGGTTTCTTCCTACTTTTCTGAGTCGAATTTTCGAAAGCTGGTAGTATTTCATAGCAATTTGTTTCGAAGATGACTGAACTTTTTTTATAGATTCACTAGAAGGCGCCCACTCTTTAACCTGCTTAAGCACTATTCAACAATTTATGATATAGGATGTTATATGTTGTTAAGATGGCTAACAGGAAATATCCGGGAAATAGGATATTCCTGGTTGTTTTATCATGTCTATTTAACAGCCTTTAAGTGAAAGATTGTGTAGCGAAGACGAAAAACGTTTCATACTGATGCCTCTTCTTGTGTGTGCAAGAAAGGGGCGGCGAGATTTAGCTACTCTTGCTGTGTTGCTGTGTTTAAGTGGACCAACTATTGCGAGCAAAAGTGAAGTAACTGTCCGAATGATACAAAATACGAGAACGCTACTAACTACTTGGACTGGATACGAATACCGACTGTTCTTTCTCAGAATCTCATACTTCACTGAACAGCGAAAATCAGAAGACAAAGACATCGGCCTGTAACTGCAAGGAAGACTCTTTATTTCAAAATAATACATCATTTATACACGATTCTCGTAAACATATGCAGACCACAAGGTCAAAAGTTGGACGTTTGTTTTTATTGGTCGACTGTAGGATGAAATTGTCCAATAAAGTTTCTCCTGATCACATAGTGACATGAAAAAAGGCTAAAATCCGAAATTCTACCCTTAGCGACTTATAACTTAATATGTTGATTTCCATTTATACCGCTTCCTATCAAAAAAGTAAATTGATTAATTAGTGATAAGCATTTTTCTGTCACTTAATGTTTATCACTGCATATGTGCAACGTGTTGACGAATAATGACCAACGTTAATACACCATCCGATTTTTCAGTTGACCACTCACTTTGTATCAGTATATATTAAGTATTGGTCAGGAATCCTGGCGATCACCTCCATCCAACTAAATTCCTTCTAATCCTTCTGTTTATTCAACACACTACTTCACTGTCTAGTTGGTTAACTTCATTGACAAGCCATATTACTTCAACGAGCACTATATTTAAAGTTGGTCATCGTTACGTTCTGAATTGTTGAGATCGTAGAATACTAATGGAAAGCTGTGACTAACTTATCTGATCAGCATCAGTTGAAGAAAAAATGAGAAATTTAATGCAAATGTTTGATATTTTTAGATGAGGAGTATTCGTGTGTAACACGCTGAAAAAGATAGTTCTCATTTTGAAAATCTGTTCATGTGTGCTATCTCTCGATACAATTGACGCCTCATGATCAACCACGTGTGATATTTCTATTCAATTGAGTATAATAAACGTTATCATTATTAGTGTAAGCAAGTTCATCACCTTCTCTGACTTCTACTTTTAATATACCACCATCATTTTTAAAACTGTAGCCATACTTTCTACCAATCCTTTTTTGTCATCCCTAACTGCTGAGTATGCGATCTAATTCTTGGTCTGTATTTCATAACAGTCACATTTCAGTGGTTAACGATACTGACTTTTGTCAGCAGTCATGAAAGACTTTCAGTATGGACAATGTGCGCTAAGAGCTTCCAACCTAATCACCAACGTTCACTGCACTGGAACTCACTTTCTGTTTTATTAATATAAGTGTAAAACTTGGACACTGTGGTAGAATATAATTCCATGTTAGATTTGTTTATATGATATATAACGCACAGTATCATTTACTGAATGACATTTCGAGCGTAAATTACCATTGCTGATAATCATATCGATAAAATCACACTCCTTTCAATATCTGATTTCTATAGTCCTGTCACCTCTTATCCTTCAGTCTTTTTGTTGGTAAAATTTTCCATATTTCTGGTATAGGTGTTGCGTCATTCCTACTACACGTGTTGGGTGGTGTAGATTCGATGAATAAAGATTCAGTAATCAATCTCCCCACCTTATTGTATTGGACTTGAATACAGTGGTTTTATTCCACCCTATTGTATGGATGTATGTTAATGCATGCAATGGAATAGCCGAGTGTTTTTCTAGATTCTTGATCTTATTGGGGTCTATCGTTCTATATTTAGCTCTAAATTCCTATGTTCCACTAATCTATCTAACCATCATAGACTAGTTTCATCTGAGTACTTGACTTCACACTCATTGCATGGAATTTGGTAGATTAGATTACTTTGCTGAATTGGTTCTATCGGATCCTTATGCCAGCCGACAAAGCTTATCTCTAAGTGAGTTTGTAGGTTTGAATGCCACCCTAGTTCCAGCCTTGTTTAGAATCCTACTTAAAGTTTGTGATGTTCCTTCCTTATCTTTATATGGTAAGAAAGTAGAGGCTTTGAATTTATTTCTACTTGTGTTATCACCATTGTCTGTATTCGTGTCACTGTTATTATTTTGTTTCTTGTGTTTTCTTACGAATTTCTTGATAAACTGAACAGGATAATTATTAATTGGTAACACTTCTCTTATGTGTCTCAATTCCTTGATTAAGTCCTTACAATGACTGGTGAGTTTTTCAGCTGTGTCGTTTAGACATTTGACTAAACCCACCTTAAGTGATATTGGATGAGATGACCTGAAGTCTGGATACCAGTTAAAATGTGGACAATAGCATCCAAACCACTATTCGTCCTTCGTTTAATTCTGCAATCCAACATAGGTAATTCTCCTTGTTCATTTTCTACCTCGTAAGTTAATTGGATTGCGTCCACTACTGAGTTTATATGTGTGAGGAAACTGTCGATATATTTCGATTTCACAGTAAATGTGTCATCCACATATCGCCTCCATATCTAAGTTGCAGGATTATACGTTTTTTTGTTTGTTTAATAGACAGATAAATAAAGTCAACTTAGAACCTCGCTCACCAGTGCATCAGTTCAATTTGCCACACTTCATAGTAGTATACAAAGAACAAGTAAGTCGATTGAAAAGGGAGTGATATCAAAGTGGACAAAGTTTTATGAGAGAATAAACAATCTGAAGACAACGAATGGTGTAAAAATCTAAGCTCTAAAAGGTGTCATAGAGTGAATACATCTGCGTCATTGTGACCGAATTTCAGCCATGCCATCGATAATCGTCAACCTCTGATTCCTTTCATCTCAGAGACTCCGACCAGATAGTCTATATCTCCCCACAGAAAACCTTTACTTTTGACTAACTTATTCTTTCCTATCGAATATACCGTTATCAATTTCTTTTGCGTCTAATGGTCATTTTGTGTGTCACTTTGCTGGTTTTACATTGCGCTCTTTTTTTTTCTAATTAGATAATATCAATGGATTCCGTCTGCGTTAATGTTTCCACAGCTCCACCTCATGTAAGATCATCAGCACATGAGCATAAAGTACGCCTTTCTACGCCTCCAGACAGAGATAATGGCAACAACATAAGTGTTTCATCTTCTATAGAATTGGTTCACAAATCAATAAGTGATAAGCATGATAGTTCAAGCAGTGGACGTGGCCGTAGTTTAACTGCAACACAAACAGTTCCTTGTCAGTCTAACGGTTCAGTCCCTTCAAGTCTTCTTGAATTGCACACTTTCCCAGGTTCACCGAACACATCTCATGCAGTTGTTATTTCCCCAGAGTATTCAAGAAAACATACCTCTAATGATAAAATCGATGGCGGTGGTAGCATTAGCAGCAATTGTGATTCTGTTGGAACAAGTAGTATTCTAGCATGGGATCAAGATCGTATTAAACAGAAAAGAAAAATTGATAAAAGTAAAAGGCTGGATGGATCATTGGATGAATTAACTTCTATATTATCAACTAGCTTAGCGTCTGATCCTGATAAAACTATGCCCTCTCGATTAGCTTCTGATTGGCCGACAACATCTGAAATACTGGCAGAAACTAATAATTTTGCACATGTACTTGAAAAACGGCTACAATATTTAAGGTGAGTTGAAATTGTTATGGGATTCTTTGTACCGTTTTTTTTCTAATCACATTTTCAGTTGCTACTTTTTTTTTAAACTTTTGCCACGTTAATGAGATAAACATGTTGTGTTTAGGCTTAATTGAAGGTGTTCCTTGAAGTTTTGCTATCGTGATAAATTTAGTCCCCTTGGCAAATTTGAACAATGCAAAGACAAAGACAATTTCAGAATTAGATGAGATCATTTTATTTCATGACCTTTCATCAGCTGCAAACAGCCTACAGTTGAAGTATTAGTAATAATGACATAACATACCTTAACTATGTGGAAATAAGTGAAGATTTGAAATCCAGAATTAACCATTAGGCAATGGTTCGAGGAAACAGGATTGATAATCACAAACCTTAGTAGAAACCAATGGCAATTTATATATGATGGGATGATAAACGAAAATCAGTGTAAAAGAAGGGTCTGTTTAAGAGCGAATAGGTTACGTAATTACGTGAGAAACTGGAAAATCGTTAATTGATTACCAATTAGTAAGTAATTAATGAAGAGATGATGAAATCAAAAGAAAACGGAAGACTATATACATACACATGCAAGAATTATATACAGTTACCAAAGTGAAGAAAGGTTAACTACAGCCTCCTTCTGAATACATAGGTCAGGTTGAAAATGCTTGATTGCGAGAGCTTCCCCAAACCGTAACAAACATGGCGTTCTTTGTTTGTTGATTATCCTGAATGATTGAAAAATATCTATTTGATGTCCTGTTTCCATCAGGTGCCTAGCGATTGCGTTCATAAAGACCTTGCTACCATTCAGACACTGATTTCTCGGAATATGCTTATAAAATCGAGTAGACGCCCTTCTTTCGGTCCGTTCTATGTACCTGCTTCCACAAGCACAGGTGAATTGATATACGCAGCTGGAGGTGACGTGAGATGGGTATTTGCCTACTTTTGACTGTGTTATTGAGTATGCTGTATTGTGTAAACTGAGATCAGTCTGGCAGCCGGGAAGCTCCTTCCTTGTGCAGCTCTTATTCTTCTGTCTATTCTTTCAGATATCTCATCACCTTTGAATGCTAGACGAAGGAAAACAGGCTTTTTCTCAACAGTTGGGTGTTTTGGTCTCTCAATAAATTCTTTTATACGCCTCGGATGAATTTCTTTGGATATCCGTTCTCTATAAGAGCCTTCTCAACTATATGGAATTTTTCTTGTTTATCTTTTGAGCACAGCCTTTTCATTCTAGTGATAGCGTCCCGACTAAACCACGCTTCTAGCTGACATGAGAGAAACTATTGTAGTAAAGGTATTGACCAGTCCACGTGTCTTTCTTGTGGTTAGTCTTCTTAACTGTACCATCACACTTCCGTCTTATACTTAGATCCAAAAGATTAAGTCTGTTTTCATTTTCCTATTCCATTGTAAAATTCATATTTGAATGAGCTTTATTGAAGGTGTTGAACAACTTTGACACATGATTCATATTATCCCAATAAAATCCAAATGTCTTTGTTCTTGCATTGTTCAAGTTTTGCTATTGTCAGACTGTATTAACAATTTTTGGGTCTGCAGCCTCTACGCTTCATTAGCGCGAATGACTTCACATGTTATCTTTCAATGAATCTTAAACGGTTTTTTTTCGGTTGATTTACTGTCCCTGTGTGTATTGGCGAAATCGCGTAGTTTGAAATGATTCGCTGTCGTTTTATTTCCCACGTTATTGTCTCTATCCTCCGTCTTTGTGGTATCCATTACGTCCATTTTATCTGTCTCGGTCTCTTTCTTTGACTTGTATAGTTTAGTAAGATTTCTATCGTCAACTTGATCAAATTAACTGTAAGATCATTTTAGTGAGTTAGTCATATTTTAGCGTATTGTTTGAATAATTCCTAAACTAGTTTCCTTTTTTCATACTTCAAAACAGTGAAGTTTGTGTCTTTTTGTCACTATCGCTTGTACAGAAGTCACTATAAAGGTACCATCTGTGATGGTTAGTTAAACTAGCTGTGGCTCAGTGTTTTAGGGTAATGTTTACCAACCGGTGAGTCACGGATTCGAACACTGCTCCACCTACCGAGGTTTAAACAGCCTGATGGTATCACTATCCATTGATTGGTCACTGGAGGGTAACCAACTTCATGTTGTCTAGTTCTAAGTGCTGACCGAATTCTGTCGATCATTTTGCATCAAGACGTATCTGTAACCTCGACGGAACTGATGTTCCGCTTCCTGCCGATTACCTCCATTCAACTAACATCTATCAAAGTGCATCGTGATGCTGAGCTGCCTAGTCTAGTGGATACATCACAAAATGATCAGTAGTATTCGGTCAACACTTTGGACTGGACAATACGAAATTGGTTATCCTCTAGTGACCAATCAATGTATCTAATCCAGTGCTACAGGATTTCAGTCACGGCCCGAATAGCTCAGTGGTAACGTCAGTGACTAGAGCACCGGGTGACGGGTTCTAATCTCAGAATGAACATCAGTTCCGTCGGGATTGCAGATACTCCATAAGGCTTTCCTGCCGATTGCCCCCATCCAATTAGTATCGCTATCCCTCACATCATAGAAGTGGCTCATCGCCTACTACAAAATTTCGATTGATAATGGGGTTCAAACCCATGAATGATCGGTTAAAAGTCAACTGGATAATATACTGAAGCACAGATTCATTATTTGAAGTCATTGACTATAGTTTTGAGTGAAGTAGAAAAGTGTAACCCTCCCTATCTCATAGTTTTAGGCACCGTTCATCGATAGCTAGGAACTTTATTTTTCCTCTCCGCTCACATTTTTCATCTGATTCATTTCCAAATATTTCAGCTGTTGGTGAATTAATTTTTTTTGGCACAATTGCTAAACGTTAGAACCTAATGCCTTTTGTATTAGTTCTGGGAATCTTCGGCTATTATCATAATGAAAGTTATAAATTCTATTTTTATTCAATAGGATTATGTTAATCGATGTCTAGACATTGACAGTGAAATATCGGTGAATTAATTATGCGTACATACAGACAATTTGAAGCAGCTGCAAGAATTCTCTTTCATTCTGTTTGATTAAAATAAATGTTCGTTTGTCTGGGTGTTTGTATTGTTCAATGAGTGATCTTTTCGGTTGGTTACAGTATATCGATTTCGTGTCCATTAATTGTGACAACATAACAGAAGTGATACGTCTTTTTTTGTTTTTGTTTTTTGTCTCGATATCTTTCTACTTCATCATTCATGATGGCTTGTAACATGAGGAGATCTATACCTTATTGTTCAATGGTGTTTTTTCTTGAAGACTTTACACTTGTATGCGTTTGTGCTTACACTACAGATGTTGAACAGTTGTAACGTCATATTCATGACCTGTTCCCATAACGAGTGACGTTTGTTCAGAATCGAACTCAGGATGCCTATCAATACAGCATCAGACTCAGAGGTTTTGATTCTTGTGTATTGTTTACCTAAGTTCACAACTAGGCGGAGGGTATCCGGTGTGATGGTGAATCGTACACAGTTTAAATTCATATATTCGTTTTTCTGTCACCCAGCAGACGAAACTGTCGAAAAAAATTAGAAAGTTGTTCCGTCTTCGTTTGGAACTCCTCAATTATTCATGGTTAATTTGGTTTCCTTTAGACTGAAGTGTTGTGGGTCTTGAGAAATTCCCACACATGGACGAGAAATGTATCCATTCCTTTTTGTTTTCAGTGGTTATTCAGCTTTTTTCAGGGTGATATGAAAACTGTAAATTGATCAGTCTCCTGATAATTTTTTTGCTGAACAGTATTTTTGATGGCTCATTTAGTCTGTAGTTTCTCTTTGAGAGCGAATCGATGCATTTGGTTTCAAAATGTAATTTGAACAAAATATTGCCTAATAACAACTTTCATTTCTCTCGTCAACCTTCCCTCCAATAAACAAAACGAAATGCGTTCAGTAACCATGAGCACGTTCGCGTAGTAGTTAATGAACCACACTTATTGTGTGAAGACTAACCATACCACTTGGCTACCAAAACCTCAGTTCATCACTGTCATGAAGATCAACATAGGACCGGATGGTCCAAGTTACCACACTTCATATCAACACATCAAGTAACAAGGCAATAAAGTTGGGAATGAAGGAGAAAGAAGAATCGATTAAAGGAAGTACAAGTAGAAAATAGTAAAAGAAAGAATGAGAAAATGATGAGGTTAAGTAAAGATATTAAGACGAGGGTAATGTGTGTATACATCTGCGTCACTGACATCAATTCTGAGCGATATCATCTAGAGTCTCTAACGACTGGTTTCTCTTGTCCCGTGGACTCCAACCCGCTAGTCTGCATCGTCCTACATGGCTCATACCAACAGTCAGAGACTTCATGTATTGATGCCATATTTTCGTTTGGCCATCCAAAGCCTTTTTCACCCTCAGCCTACCTCACCCAACATTGTGTGACAAGGCAGACGGTGGTTAGGCATATGTAACACATGTCCCAGCCATCTGAGTGGATAAACGTTCACAACCGTATCACTATCTTACTCTCCTGTCTAAAACTTTACGCTTGACTTCTGCGTTACTCACCTGGTGACACTACGACGCAAGGCCTATGCTTCGAAGGCAGTGGTGGTCAGACATCTGAAGCCTTCTCAAGTCTTCTGCCTTTAATACCCATATTTCACAGCCGGAGAGTAGAAGAGAGTGAACTGCAGCACAGTACACTCAACGCGTAATAGACGTATGGATATCGCGGTGGTGCCACAGATGGCATAAGTTGGCAAAAGCTAACCGAGCTTTTTGTATCCGTGACTCACCAGGGTTGGTCTGACTTCCCAAGTAAGTGAAGTTTTCAGCGCATCCAATCACTCCACTCTCCATTGTTAGTCGAGATACCGTTGAGAGCCAATCCTGTAGCAACAGTTTGCACTTGGGTGGCGAGAAACGTATTCCAAACCTTGCTTGCTGAAAAGTGGAGTCACAAATAGGTCGACACCACACGCCTTCGCCTCCTTTTGAGATTTTGGGAGTCTCTCATGAAGCAAATGAGCTCATAGGTGATGAGTTCATTTCAACAAACAAATATGTTTATGAGCTGTACTCAAATATTAGGTAATAAACTCTTATGAAAGCCTAAATTCTGGTGAGTCCCGCAACTTTTCAAACCTTTCAATCACTTTATGAAAATTGTAAGCCATAACTCCATTCATCATAAGTATAGTACATATAAGGGTTAACATCATTAACTAGTTATCCAAATCACAGCAGACAAAGCGCCTACCTCATCAATTCACACCTTCAAAGAGATGTTTGAAACTAGGACAAAGCACTTCTTGATTTTCGCTGTTTTTCTATTGTTTAGAAAAGATTTAGCTTGGTTTTATTTTGATACTAAGCTACAAGGTAGCCATGCCTCACTACATTAAGCTCAGAGAAGTAAAAGAATATACATTAATTGTTTTCTTCAAAATGTTATTATTTGAAGAAAGCACTTTCTTCTTTTCACATCGACCGTTTAGTCTACATCATCCTCTAATGTATTTTGATATATTTATTCTCAATTTTATATTGCAGGTCTGTTTATATACGTGCACATTCTGAGGCTGAAGCATTGGCTAATTTAGCTCAATTGATCACATCTGGAAGTCTTAGCATTATCCCTCCTATGAATGATGATCAAATCGACTGCAACATTGTCATAACAACAAGGAAAAAAACAATTCTAGTATACTAAAGAGTAATTCATCTGATGTATACGAAAAACATTCATATTTAGAGTCTTTATTGGTTAAAGCGATTGATCGCATTGATTTATTGCTGAAATCAAATATCCATGCTAAAAGTGTTCTGGATACTTCCAATCATCAAATCCACTCTGTAGATTATCATGATCCTAAATCAATGTCACCATCAACTGCTAAAATAGCAAAAACAGGCAAATATTCTCCTTCGAAGGATATTCATTCATTTCAGTGCAATTTACATCAAGACGATAAATTACCATTAGATTTAGAGCTTGAAAAATTAATGAATCTTAAACATGAGTAAGTTATTATTTGGTAATAATTGGACTTCATGTGTATTATTGATCACTGCCAACTATGCACAGTAGTTTTTTTGGAAATACACTTTCCCATAGTTCAGTCATCCCATAACATAGACTAACTTAAAAACCGTCAGATCATGCGTAAATTTGGGTAATGAAGTATAATTTAGAACTCCATATTCGCTAACAATAAGGTTCTCATAATATGCGGCCATAACTCGTTAGAGAATCAAATAACTTTGAGACACTCACCTTGAGTCGTTAATCCTTGATCCTCCATCATGTGCTTTTCTGAATAGCACAAGAAGCAAAAATTTACATAGGTTACACACAATATCGTTCAATCAGTATGCAAGCAATGCTAGGTAGTGACTACATCTGTGCCGCTGAAGTAGATTTCGAGTCATCAACTCTCTACTTTAGAAATACTAACGTAAACTGTGAGAAAATAATTGTCAATGGTCATTTCTACCGTTTTATAGAATGCAGTAAATGTTTCGGGGTTATTTGCAATTCATTTTCGATATCTATTTTCAGTTATATGTTTATCAATGCGCTATCTTTTTCTCTATAAATACTCAGGCAACTTTTTATCTTGCCTCTTCTGGAAACATGTAATGATTTTCTCTACTTTACAACAGTATCTACTCAGATCTTCGTTTCATAAGTTGATATGTCAGTGATCACACCACCGAGCTATAATTTCCTCTGACATGGCGATCATAACCGAATGTCTTTATGGAGAATACTTCGGTCATTTTGAATCCCACTAAAAGCATAAATGCTCACTAGAAGGTAGATGAATCTAACTGGCATGTTCTGTGTATAACAAAACTCTTATACTCTGCATGATATAATTGTTAGTGGCCACTTTAATATAATATCTAATGAATCAGGGGAAGCAGGTCAGCGATAATTGATTTAGGTGAGTATACATTGCCTCTATTCACTTCTACAGCAGATATTCACAAACTTAAGAATTGGTGATAGGGTTATTTTATATATATATATATATATATATATATATATATATATATATATATATATATAATTACTATTATTATTATTATTCCCTTGGGTTCCTAGTGGAACATAGGGATTCAGTAGCACGCCTCCATTGCGCTCTGTTCTCTGCAGTTTTTTCAACCTAGCTCTACCACTGCCCACAACCTTTCATTTCTTCCTCACATGATCTCCTCCATGTCACCCTCGCCTCGGGCGCCCAACTTTTTGTTTTCCCTTTGGATTCCACTAGACGTTCTGGGCTGACGTGTGGTGTCTCCGAACGGTCTTCTCAATGTATGCCCACCCAATCCATCTCCACTTTCTCCTGCATATTTGTTGCGTGGTAGATTCTTGGTTGGTTTGTCGCCAGCCAGAGTTCCTCGTTGCTTATTGTTTCTGGCCATCTAATCTTCAGTAACGAGCCAGCGTAGGCAGTTGTTGATGAATGTCTGTAGTTTGTTGGAAGTGCTTTTCGTGACGCGCGCAGTCTCTCAATCATCAACAGAAGCACTAACGTGACTGAGTTAGTGTTGAAAATCCGGATCTTGTTCACGCTTTATGCTGAGTGTAGTAGATCTCCAAACTGGTTTCAGATTAACGAAGGCCTGTCTTGCTCTCCCGATCCTGGTTTTGACATCCTCATCTGTGCCACCTGTAGTTGAAACGATGCTGCCTAGGTTGTTGTTGTTGTCGGTTGGGTATCTTCATCACCTATGTCTTTTCTACGTTCACCTATACGAATTCCCTCCTTCGCTGCCCGTCCTCTTCGGCCAACTTGTTGGTATTCGCCTGTAGATCTTCGAGTTTGTGCAACACGATATTAAACATGAATTATCATCGGCAAAATCCAAATTTTCTAGGGCCTTGTCATCACATCGGTCAAACAGTATATGCCCATCTTCTCACAGCTCCTCACAGTTGTTTGCTGCATGATCCAGTCGACCACAATCAGGAAGATTATGGGTGATAGATAGTAGGCAGCCTTGTCTTACTCCTGTCTCCACTTCAAAGGCGTCACTGAGCTTTCCATTGTGAATCACTTCGCATGTGGTATCAATCGTCAGGTACCTTTCCTACCTTCTTCCCTTCCTTGCAAACCTTCTGCAATAGTGGTGTGATCATGTCTGCTGTTGTCTCTGTGCCTGTTTTCAGTTCTTCTGGCGGAATTCCATCTGGTCCTGCTGTTTTCCCGGATTTCAGCAACTTTATGGCCTGGCGTTTAGAACTTCACTTCTGCTGTCGTCGGATGCTTATTTTCACTGGTAGTTCTGTGGCTGGGATGTTGCCGGTATTTGTGGACGAGTCACAGGTGGTGGTGGTGGTCAATCCAAGAGCTTTTCAAGTGGTCAGCCCATCGTTTTGTTTCCTCTGTTTCTCCTCTCTGGTGTTAACCAGGTTTCCTTCACTATGTTTAATTGGTTTCATCTCAGTTGATCTCTTCCCTCCCAGATACTAACTTGATTATTTGATAGCGTTGTCAGGTCTCTGTCTCTCCTACCAGCCGGCAGCCTGTTCTGCTTCACTTGCCAGTGTGTCGTAGAAGTGTCTTTTGTCTTTGCGCACACACTTCTTTGTCCAGTATTTTATACGTTGTACTCAGTTCCTCTTTTCGTTGTTCATCCCTGCACTGGTTCATCTTCTGCTTCACCATCCTCCTCTCCCTGCTCTATAGCTCCCATGTGTCTATCGAGATTTATTCCTTATCTTCTTTCTTTTTCCTCCCTAACACGCTTGTGCAGGTTTATTTCCACATCCATTTCAAAGAGTTCTAGTGCTCATCCACACAGGTTTCTACAGGGATGCTGCTCGATATCTCCCATTTTGTCTTGATGGCTGACGTGAAGATTTCCTTTGTAGTTTCGTCCTTCAGTTTGTGTTTCGGGTGTTGTACTTGGACTGTGGTCTATCACCAGCCTCTTTGAATTGAGGGCTTTCAACTTGATTTTGAAGGTAGGTCCCTTGCACTAGATAGTGAGTGGTGTGAAGCTAAATCTGCTCTCCTTCTTGATCTAATCTTGTGTCCAGTAGACTGACTGCGTCTCCACTTTCTCCACATTCAGATGAAGTCGATCTGATTTGTAGTGTAGTGTGTCCCGCTGTCTGGTGAGATCAAATTTATGTTGCTGCCTTGAGAATATCCTTGTGTTTGTAGCCACTGCCTCCTATCACCAAATCGTTGAATGTGCAGAAACTGCAAACAGTTCTCCATTCTCGTTCATCATTCCATGGAGTGCTTCTCGACCCATGATGAGTTCTCTTGCTGTGTTGTCTGCTCCCAGTTTGGCATTAAAATATGTCACCCATTAGAATTTTGATGTCGCCGTCGTCAATTGGGATGGTGTCTTGTCCAGTGCTGATTGCAGTTGTCTATAGAGTTCCCCCTTCTTCTCTTGATCTGCATTATTTGTAGGTGCATAGCGTAGCACTGTATGATTGTGACTTTCTTTCCTTTTGAGTTGAACCTCTGTGTTACGGTGCTGACCGTTGAGGAGATTGGCTCCAACCTCATGAGTGAGAGCCTGTGATGCTCGTTGGGGAAATCGAAAGTGATAACCACCCCCTCAGTGTACTCGTGATTGTCGTCTGGTTGACAATATCGGAGCAGATTATTAACTCTCCAGTTAAAAGTTTGCAGAGTCCACTTCCATTCCATTTGCTCTCACAGATTCCTAGCACTTCTATGCTATACCTTCTCATCTCTTTTGCAATCTGTGCAGCCTTGGTAGGTTCATACATTGTTTGGACATTGCCTCGCCATCCTTACTTTTGCTTTCATTGTGGTAGAGAAGACACATTGGCCGATGGCTTCCGTGAGGTTTTCACCGACCTGAGTCATTTCGTGTTTTCGATCCCAGCGAGGAATAATTTAGTTTTTATTTTTTATATTTTGTTTGTGCTTTGAAGTTTGTTTAGGGATTGGCTTTGTTTTAGTGGGTAGGGTTGCTGCTAGCTGTATGCCCAACCTTCCCTCTTTATCCGGTCTTAGAACCGGCTAGTAACTACTGAACTAGTTACCTAGGCGGGCTTTTATATATATATGGGTGTGTGGAAATATAAATTCTCTGAACGTGTCGACTCACGAAGTCACTTGGCGTTAGTTTGAAGCATGATGGGTATCTGTCAGCCATTCAGAAGTTCGTGAATAGAAATGTAATGGGATGTATCCTCGAGTGCACTAAAATTGCACTCAAAATTTTAAATATTTTATTACTTTACGTCTACGACCCCCCTTCTGCTGAGTTTTTCGTTGATCGTAACATTCCACTTTTATGTTGACGCTTTTCTGAGCTGTTTTGTTGTGGAGCTGTTATTCCTTAAACTGGAGCTTTGTAATGCGAAGTTCTGTTATTATCTATGTCTAACTGTTGATGGGTGCCCATAAACCTTCATCTTTTGGTTTCACTGAATTTAAAGTAGCTTAGTGCAAGTCCACACTAGTATATGAAGTCTTTAAATGTTGCTCTAGGCCACTTGATGAGCTATAGACGTCTCAGATGACGACGATGAGACAGAAGTCAATGTTTGTGGATTTTAGGATTTGTACGTGAAATTTACCTTCTGTTTTGTTAGTGTAACTTCACTCTGTGCTTTTTCGAATATTGAGGATATTATTTTTAAAAATTCTTCATCTTCTTTTTCTTTTGCTAACCCTAACATTCGGTATCCTTACCTCTATTTATTCAATTTCTGTTGTATCGTTTCCCTCATTTCATCTGATGTGAATTGTGGTAACTTGGAGGGATCGGCAGTTGTGTCACGTCTCTCGTTTGTATATTATCAAGTTCTAATTGATTTTTCGGTTGTTTTCCTACCATCTTGGAGTCCAATATATTGCCCATGTTCCGCGCTTTTTGCATTTTCATTTTTCAACACTTTTTACGCAAGTATATTCTGTTTTCCACTTCACTTATTGTTAAATTTGGAGGTAAGCTCTGAGGAATCCGCTCATATTGTTCCATCTTGTGATCAAATGAACTGATATCACTATTCAATCTAGTTAAGTTAACATTTTTAGAAGATTTTTAGCAGGAATTTTTCATTTAGGCTTACGTGCATTCTTAAGTGATTGGTTCGAGTCCGGAACGCTTAACTCAGTTTTAGTATCTAGAGAATTAATTATCATCTTACTTGGAATCATCACTCTAGTCAGAATTATTGTATTCCTCAATGAATACATAAACCGCTTTACTAACCTTGAAAGTTGCATCGATCCTGATTAACTAACTAATTATCAGATATCATGGTGAATGTCCAAGTTTTGAGTAGTATTCCTTTTGGTCTCCATCTATTTTCTCCTTCGATATCAACTAACGTTTTTTATATATCTTATGGAGATGTGACGTATTAGTCCAATGACCTTTGACCTTCAACTAATATATATTGAGGTTCAGACCCTACTTTCCTTGGCATAGGTGACCAGGTAGTATCATAAGCTGTTCCACCTAAAATATGATTCATCCTTGCACATAGACGTATACCGGATTGAGTTGCATGATCAATTTTTTCAACGCATTATACTTTACTGCACAACTGTAGGATATGATGATCTTTGAATACTGACAATATGATAAAACTACAGCAGATAAGTATTTTCCTCTTCCGTAAATTCAACTATTATTGAGTTGTTTTTTCGATACTGCTATATATTTGACTGTATTAAGGTTCAGTTGATAAAGTTGTCAAAGTAGATCAACTGAGTTCTTTTGAACATGTCTTACCATTGCACATACAGCTAACTCCTTGATTCAATTATGACTGAAATAGTAAAATGAATGCTGTCAAAAATGTTTTTTTGCTGTTAACCACATTTGATATACTAAAATTTATTCTTCTACTCGTGAACCCCAACCAAATGGTTTAGAGTGAGCTTCGAACACAGAACCCCATCGCGTGGTGAGTCGAGCACCTGATGAAATGCATAATCTTCCTGAACGTGTTGAGCATAAATCTGAGTATGTTTAGTATGCGTTTCTCACCTGTCAAATGTAAGATGAGGCTCCAAGACTGGTGTGAAACTACTTTCAGCTTAATGATAGAGAGTGAAGTAGGGGAATGTGTCAGCCACTTCCCTTACTTTGGAAGTTGTTTCAGCTCGAACATGCTAGTTGATGACGAAATCTCATCTCCGATACTTGAGACCTGTTTGGCATTTGGAAAGCTGCGTCATCTGTGACTCCAACTGGAGAGATACCCGGCTATCTATCAAAGGATGAGTATACTGCACTGCAGCCCGTTCTGTCCTGTTATATGGCTGTAAGACATGGGCGTTAAAAGTAGGAGACATGAAGCGATTACAGGTTTTGAATCACAAATGTCTTCGTAGTGTTGCTTGTGTTTGATGGAATCAGTATGTAAGCGATGTTGAGTTTAGGCGAAGAGTACTAGGCAAGGTTGATGAGGTTATGAACTAAGATGGCTTGGACGTGTACTCGCCAGACCCAGTATGCCGCGTACCTCTACATGCCATATTGGGGGGGGGAGTTGAACTAGATTGTAAGAAGGTTCAGCGTGGCCAGACCAAGAAGTTTGAGTTGTATGGGGAGATGTAGACTACCTGACTGGGATCTACAAGACGAGAGGAATCAGTGGTTTAGGACTGACCCTTGATATGGCTGAAGATTGGACAGAATGATGTAAATGTATTCACTCCTTGACGTTTTCTAAAGCTTGAATATTCACACTTACCGTTATTTTCTCACATAAAATGTTCTACTTTGATATCACTCTTTTTCTATCGACTTACTTGTTCTTTGTATACTACTATGAATTGTGGCAAGTTGAAGTGATTCACTTGTGTGCGACATTCCACGATGATTTTTTCTGTCTGTTTGTTGGTCTTCTGAGCTGTTGAACCACACTTCCACTAAAAACATTGTAAAATGTTGATGAATTCACTGATTAGTTAACCTGATTGCTGAATTGTGAACTGCTATCAAAAATCAATTATATGCACTTGTTAGACAACATAAATAAAAGTAACTATCACCAGGACAGTTGTAATACAATTGATTATTATCTCGTTTCAGAAAAAGAACATTCTATCTTCAATGATTCAAAATACATCCTTTGATTGCTTTAGCATTTCTAAACAGTGGATTTCAATTTTATTTTTCTTTCTCCTAGATACATGATGAAAGCCTTCCATTTATGCTTGGATCAGTTGCATCTCCTTACAACATGATTGTATGTTTATTACAAGAAGAGAATAACTCACTTCAGAAATGTCTTCCTTTTTACCCCTACCCCCTGCCTCATCTTTGTCAGTATTATTGCTGAATCTTTCATTTCATTTGTGCTGTATGTGTCTATATATATATGTGGTTTGTCTTTCGTGAAGTGATAATACCTCATATTCTTTTATATATTACAATGAAATGACTAGCATTTGTATTCGTTAATGGCTTCCTTTCTTCTCACTTTTCTAAAAATGTTCCTTGATGATGATGCATATGCTTCTTTGCTTCCATTTTCTCTTTGTACACCTCAAATATGTACGCTTTTACGTAATTTTTTGTTTGTTGTGATTGTTGTTAACAACCTTCAACAAAATGGTGTTGCAATGTCCAATTGTGTCCATATTTAGGTTTCAAATATATATATATATATATATATATATATATATATATATATATATATATATACATTCTAAGACTAATTTGTTCAGTTGCCATTGCTATCCTCATACTCTACTCAACATGATTGGGGGTTTTGAATTGGAGAAGTATTACGCTTACGCCTCTATGATGCTTGATAGACAGGTTGGTGAATGAGGTCATGGAGGTAACGAATGATGTAGATGGTATCTGGTAAGCATTCTCAGCCACTGTCTTCCCACAGGTTGGAAGAGTAAAACTAACGGTGGTCAGGACAAGTCACTGATGGTTGTTCTATGTGCTTTGGACTCCTTTGTCATGCACCCGTGGATGTCTGGAAACGTTCAGGAACGTTTGTAACATGGATAGAAATGATACCATGGGTATCTACTTTCTTCATCTATTTTTTTATTGTTCATTTACGTCATTTTTCATGTTTCCCCTTTAATGTATACCGTGTTGTTAAATTTCTCTCCGTACTATTAAATATGGTATTACTTGGCACAAAGACTTCTCTATGAACTTCTATCCACCTAAGTAGTAACGATTTAAAGCTTCATGGATTAAGGTTGTAAGTCAAATATTAAATTATGCTCTACTGTTTTCCGTCTCCTACTACTTGAACTAGAGTTATTTGATATAAGTTAGAATCTATGAACTGGAGATTAAAATCCAAGTGTTTTGACTGCTGTTGGATCGATAGCTTAATGGTTGTTCTGCGTATTCATTTTCTGTTCCGTCTCTTACTATTTAGTGATGTTTAGGGGTTATCCTACTTGGATAATAATCGTAATAACGTGGGAACTATACACCTCTGAGATACATGCATGATTACAGTGCCTCGAGTTATGAAATCTTCATGTTAAGCTAAGGTAGAAATGTCAATAAAGGTTATTTTTTCCCTGACAGACGACAGCATATTCTTATCACCACTTAGTGATATAGCTAAGTCAATACTAAGACTTCACCTCTATTGCGTGTTATCCAACCTCTTAACTATTATTAACACCTTCCTCTCTTTACACTCCTTTAGCCCTCCAGCAAGTCCCATGTAAATTAACAATAATTTTAGTTCATATCCTGTGATTTTTACTTTTAAAGTATTCTGGATTCACTAATATACAACACCTATCATTTCGTTGAAGTACTCAAAATTCTTGTACCCTTATTTATTTACTCTCGCTCATCGCGTATCCTTCTTGTTCATTCTAGTATCTCTTTATTTCTTTTTCCAGCGTTGTTGCAATATTTGGAAACTTGAACATTTGTGCTAGATTTACTTTGTTCTGTCTGTCTAGAAATGTTATCAACTGCTTTGTTTATGCTAGAAAAACCATTTTGGGGGCATTATTAAGTTTCTTTTGTTTATCCTACATTTCCTTCTAGATTTGCTGATAGCCAACAACAGTAAGAGGCGAGGAATAATGTAAGAGCAAAACTTTGCCAGTGTGGACCTCGTGGCTCAGTTGATAGAGCATCGGGCAGGAAACTCGGTGGTCGCTGGTTCGAATCCGGCCACGGTCTAAATTTTCATTTAACCTTCAATCATCACCTAGTATGTTTACAACTACATTTTAGTTTGGAGGCTCGTAGGGATTTATTGATTTCAAAGTGATATTCATCACTGACCAACATCGGCTAGCGAACCCTTAAAAACCTTAGAGCCCTGGACAGCTGTTGCGTCCTAGTATGTAACTCCAGCAGTACGTATCCATGACCCTGTTAGGGATCATATTTAGAATCTCCAGGTCTCGTGGTGGACACGTTGCCACTGGGTCGGAGTGCAATGGTCCATATTTTCCTACTTCTGTCAAGTTGCGATATAGCGCGACCTCCATCTAATGCTGTCATCGACTGTTTATCCTCATGTCTGATTTGTTTCAATTGTTTCCCAACTAATATCAGTGCGTTATGAGTACCACCTCTACTTATTTCGAGCTTCTATGCGCATCGAAGTCCTCTACCTAGTGCATCTTTAACACTAGTCTACTCATCGTTATTTGACTGTTTTTACGCTTTTTATACTTCAGTTATCTCCTGTTTCGCGACTGCTTGCATCTCAATTTTGAATCGATTCATATGTATGAGTAGATTTCTGTTCTTTAGACAGTTCGTTTTTTCGAGACAGCATGCTTGCGTTCTGATTGTACTTTCTCTTGGGTGATTCATATGATTTGTTTGTTAATCTACCCTTTCAATCGCTTTAGTTTTGTTTGTTATTGTCATTGCTTAGACGGGTGTGTGTGTGCTATAATTGAAGTTTATATTGATAAAATGTCCGTGCTGTGTTTTAAGAGTTAATCGGTAGGAACCGCTGGTTAACCTAGTTTTCTTACTTGTTAGCGCTCATTGGCAAGGGTTTTGATCATAGATATCTTCGTAGCACTGCCCACGTTTGGTGGGATCACTATATGAGCAACGTTGAGGTCAGACGAAGGGTACTAGGCAATTCATTTGATGAGGTTGCCAACTAAGATGGCTCGGGAATGTACTGTGCATGCCGATTTATCCTACCTCCACGTGCTATGCTGAGGAAAGCTGGATTAGGTTGGAAGAGGCTTCAGAGTAGCCAAACTAAGACGCTGTATCAGTCGATGAAGTCTGTGAATGTTGGTTTGAGCCTGGCTGGGGTCTGTGAGACAAAGAGAACCAGTGGTTGAGGACTAACTGTTAGTGACATGGCTGGAAATCGATCGTAATGACGCACATGTAATCACTCCTTGACGTATTCAATAAGCCATATTAACAACCTTGATGGGATTCGTGTTCCACCTTAGTGTTTCGTACACGTGTTATCACTACTATTTCCCATCCAGTCTACTTAGCGTCAACTGCACCCCATGACCCAGTCACATATGCTTTAACAATGAATTCGTTCTATATGGAGTTTTCAGACAAATATTCAATTTACTTTTAACAGATATTTTTAACAGCCATACAAGTAAAGCATTCACCAAGAATGTACTGTATAAATGTTTTACCTTCAATTTACGGACAGCGTAACAGATCAGGTGAGAAAGTTGTTGATATCCATGTCCTAGCGGTATTGCATAGAATTTTGTCAAAGCATTGAACAGTGCATTTACATAATTCAATATCTTTGTTGTTGATCTTTTATTACAGTACTGAAATGCATCTCATCGTACTACAAGGGATAGTCAGTCTATGATATTTAAAAATTTACATTTTAGAACTCATCTGTTATGCATACATGCTTCAAAAGAAGTAAATTAGTCTCAGATGAAGTTATACCCACCAACACTATTTGGGATTGTATGATAGGAATTATCGATCCAAATAATAAGAAGGTACATCGTAGACATAAAACGTTGACCAAATAAAATCCCCTCATAGTATGAAAGAATAACATACAACACGTTTACGACTGAGAGAGAATGTCAGTGATTATGTAAGTTATCAATGAACAAGTGCTTCAGTAGTATTGTAACTGTTTTGTTAAGGATGTTAGCCGAGTGAGATATTATTCCGAGTGATTCCTAACAATCATTGAAATAACTAATGAGGTTTCTCGATTTCGACCAGAAATTAGTTTTTTCACGAAATAAATAAGCCTAATTGACCACTTTAGTAGTTATCTATCAGGTTGGCCTGTAAAGTCATGAATTCTTTATAGTTATTCAGGGATAAAATCGACACATTCATTAGTTTTGCCTATAAACCTTCATTACCTTCTAATCAAATAAACGAATTCACACGTTAAGACGATATCATCATAGTCTTATTAGCTATTCTTGTACTTGGGACAGTGTAGCATGTATTCCATACTGTATACTTTGACATTTTTAAAATTCACTCATCAGTTTTGTGCACGTTCGTGCAGTAGGCAATGAGCCAAACCTCTGGTGTTGGAGCAATGCTCAGACTTGTGATCCATTGGTTGAAAGTCACCTACATAAACCAATGAACCACACCTCCCCACGAGTTGACAAATTGAAAGTTGATATTATAATTTAATGCTTGTTTAATTGTCCTGATATGAAACATTCTGTCTCCTTCTTGCTGGTTTCGAATTTGTTGATTTATTGTCAATATAACATCCCAGTTTATACTTTGTGTTATCTCTTATTCTCACACTCTCTGATGCAGGTGGATCAGTAGTGCTTGAAACAATAAGAAAAGCAACAGTATTTGAGAAATTTTATGTAAATATTGGAGTGAGATACAAGCTCGACAACAGTGGTTTAATCTTGTAATCTAATCATTACATATTTCTGTGTTTTCAAAGTTGAATGGTCTGAATTTACAGTATTGTTTACGTCATGCGTCTGGGTGAGTTCCAAATATCGAGCGTCTTTAGGGTTTATTCTAGCGCAACGACTTAAATAATCAATCAGGTCTAAAACCAGTTTTTTGCATAAAATAAAGGAACATTATTATTTTATTTCACAAATCCTCCGGCGATCATTAAGGTTACTCTACATATCGTGTCAGTACACTTGATTCCAAAGGCCAGCCTAGCAACAACTGAAATTAAACTCTATTTTGTTTACAGAGGCAAACTTTCATAGAATCAAGAAGTTTAATTGATTATTTCAGTTATTGTTAGGGTAGGCTTTAGAGTCACCCC